ATTTATAATTTTCTTCTCTTTGGTTCATTCTCATTACCTTCATCGTCACTTAAATCCAATTCTCCTTCACTTTCACTATCGCTATCATCGTTCTCATCCTCTAAATCTCTATGAGCCTCTGTATAGTACTTGACACAGTATGGATATAAATCATCTACAATCAATTCTGCAAATGAATCACCGTGTGGGAATTCTTTACCTGGCTTTAATCCAGTCCATCTAAACCATCCAAATAAACTCTTCATACCTTGTCTATATTTTTTTTTACCTTCTGGACTTTTCTTATCCTGAATAGATTCAGGGCAAATATCTTCATACTTCTTTGGCCATTTTATATCCACTGGTTCACTAATTAACTTCTCAAGTTCATCATCGTCATCATCTGAGTCTGAGTCTTCCTTGCTTTTAGTATCGTCAATTATTTTTTGTCTCTTGAATTGTTTAGTAACTGTCTGTGCTTCAAAATCATCCTTTATACCATCAAACTTAATAATAATTTTAAATTCATCAACATTATCCCACTCAACTTTCACATCTTGAATACAATCTACATATGTAAAATCAGATGCTCTAATATAATTGGCAAAATCTGTATGTTGAGATAATACAATTTTCCAAAATTCTGGAATCTTATTTACTAAACCGTCTCTTTCTTGATAAACTGATTTCATCTTATCCAATCGATATTGTGCAACATCTTTCTCAATTGCATCAACTTTCAATTCACATTCTGCTAATTGAAGAAAGGCATTAGATTCTTCCTCTTCGTTTCTAGATCAATTTTGAATATTAATATTAAAATAAATATTATTTGAGCTTATGTTAGTAAATAAATTTTAATTCCTAAACATTCAGCAGGACCAAATCCAATTTTTTACATACGGTTTAACTTCACCCATACTTCTAGATTAGTTTTATTAGATCTAAATCTTAATTTATCAATCTTAATACAATATTATCCAATTTATATAAATATCTTTAATTCGTATCTCATCTCTTAAATATTCGATTTCATATACTTTATTTTTTTGTCACTAGATCCTTCAAATTCTGAGCGATGTAGTATGTCAAACTATATAAATTTGATATAAATAAAATAACTTTTAATTTTTTATATGAATTAAAATACAAATGTCTACAAATAGATTTTGAATAACATTATTTATATATATCTATAGTTATAATTTAGATAAGTATTCTTCATGAAGTTTCTTTTGCTGTTCCCATTGTTTTTTCAATTTTTTAGTCATAGATTTTGTTACTTCGTTGCCATCTTTATCTTTAGTTGGTAAACCTTGTTCATCCCATTCTGTATATTCTGAAGTTTTGAACATTTCTTGTGGCGAGACCTTTGCTTTTTCCATTCTTTCATTTTCCTTAGCTTCTTTCAATTTTTGTTGTTCAAGTTTCTTCTTTAATTTTTCTTGTTCTCTAGCTAATTTCTCTTCATTATTTTTGATGATTTCATTTTTTTCATTATCAGTTAAGAACTTAATTAATGCTGATTGACCATTTCTGTCATCTAATGCAATGTTTAATTTCAATAGATCATCATCTCTAATCTGATCGGTTAATTTCAAAAATTCGACATAATTTGCCTTCTCGATGGATAACGAACGAACGATATCTCTAAATTTAGATAGACATTGTACGTATGGCATTACGGTTTCTTCTACAGAAGAGCCATTAGCAGCATTTGATGAATCAGCATTTTCCCAACCTAGACCATCAGAACGAACTGGGAAACCAATGATACCGAAAATCTTAGTGATAAATTTACAAATAGAAATGATTGGTTCAATTCTAATATCATTACCGACAGAAGAAATGTAAGTGTTAGTCAAAGTAACTAGATCACTTAAGGCTTTTAAAGCTTGAGGGGTAGCCAAATTGTCACAGAATGCAATATCAACCTTTTCTTGAGCAATCTTGAAATCTTCCAATAATTGTCTTTCCAATGATCCTAATTTCTTGGATACGAACCCATTTGGTTGAGAAATGATATTAATATAATCGTTATTTAAAGCTCTAACGTTAGCAAAAAAGTTGTTGAAAGATGTTTCAGTCGATCTAACTTCATTAATTAAACTTTCTTTGAAATCCAATTGATTATTCCACTGAACTGATGCAAAGGCTAATCTTAATTGACGAGCAGAGTACATTTTCAATGCTTCGTCGATTGTAATGAAATTTTTCAAAGATTTAGACATCTTTTGACCTTCAATATGTAAGTGACCGGTGTGTAAGAAGTAATTAATCCATTGGTTGTTGTCAAAATGAGCTTCTGATTGGGCTAATTCATTATCATGATGTGGGAAAGCTAAATCTATACCACCGGAATGAATATCGATGTTTTGACCTAAGATATCACTAGCCATAACAGAACATTCGATGTGCCAACCTGGTCTACCTTTTCCCCATGGAGATTCCCATTCTGGTTCACCAGGTTTGGAAGCTTTCCATAAAGCGAAATCGCTTGGAGATTTTTTACCATTTGTGTTTGAGAAATTACTCAAAGAACCTTCGGCATCATTAATTAAGTCCAAATGACCTTTGTTCCAAGGTTGACACTTGGCGTAACTGTGATCTTTTGAAGTGTCAAAGTTTTGGGTATCGAAATAAACAGAGCCATCATCAGCGGCATAGGCATAACCGTTAGAGATAATTTTTTCAACGAATTCGATAATTTCTGGAACATATTCGGAGACTCTGGTGGTAACATTTGGAGGCAATACATTTAATTTGGCCATATCATTATCGTATTGATGTTCCCAATAGGCAGGCAATTTACGGAAAATTTCTGGATGATTAATAGAAGATCCTAGTTCTTTATCTAGCACTGGAACTAAAACGTCTTTAACTAAATTGAAGAAATCTTGAGAAGATGGGTCGTTCAAAGCCTTGATAGCATTTTGAACAGCAGTGATATGCATTGGGAATTTTGGATCTTCATTTTTCATGGATTCGACGTCAACTTGTTTATACCAATTTTCGAAATCATTGATAGACTTGATAGAAGATTGTTTTAAGTTTTTTTCGATATATTGAAATAAACTTGATTCAATTTTTGAGATGACATCATTTGAGATATCTCCGTCAATGGACTTGACATATTCTTCAAAAAGATGGTTTTGTCTTGCCCTTAGAATAATTTTATCATCGATATCGGTGACATTTTGAACAAAATTGATGTTGTAGCCGAAATAGTCTTGTAAGATTCTTCTGTTAATATCAATAGAGACATAATTTCTTGCGTGGCCCATATGAGAAGCATCATAAACGGTAGGACCACAGGAATACCATGAGACCTCTTTGGTACCAGATCTTGGGATGAACTCTTCTTTACTTCTTGTTAAGGTGTTGTAAACCTTCAAGACTGATTTTTTACTCAAATCCATTTCAGGTTTCCACCATTTTGGTTGAGTGACTTTAGCACCGGTAGCAGTTGACATATTTTTCTTGCAAATTGATTTTAATAGCGAAAACATACAACTACAATAATTCCACCAATATACAAAAAATAAAGTAACGTAATATTATTCTACCTTTTTGTTTTATCTCAATTGTACGGGAAGAGATGTTGTCACTTTCAGATCAAGTTATTGAGTGCAGTGTTGTAAATTTCAGTTCAGGATTGAGATGAAAAGAAATAAAAAAAGAGACTGGAATGAAAAAACTAGATAAAATGAAAGCAGCAATAAAAGACCTTTGAACTAGGAAACACTGATATAGCGCAATTGATACCACTTGTTAAATCTAAAAGCTACCAATCAATATTTTTTTTATAAAACTTGAACGTCTATTTCATCCATGATATTTTCAATTGCCAATAGATTTAGTTGTACTTTCCAGTGTAGTTGGGATTTTATTGCATTCTTGATTGAAGCTCTGTTTCAGTACAATCGAACGAAAAGCCCAAAATGAAGAAAAAAAGAAAAGCAAAAAAGACAATAATTTTCGAAAATATTTGTTCGTTGGTAGTGATAGAGGGTTCGTCGGTGATTATACATTAAATTTGAAATCACGTGATATAATGTGGTGCAGCGTTACCCTGCTAGGCGGTTACAAAAACCTTTCCAGTTCCCAGTTTCCACTGTCATTTGGTGGTTCAGGTTGGAGCCACCCACGCAAAATTCGATGTCTTCTTTTGTTACCTAGTACATTTTCCTCGACAGATGTACACGTGTTCGGATTATTCTAACCAGCAACCACCAGTCTCTGTAGGTAATACCCACTAGTATCGATCACATTGCCATGGTTTGAGTGAGCAAAAAAGTTTTCAGTAGTTAGGGACCAGCACCAAACTGCGCCAAACTGCGCCAAATTGGGCCAGAAAAGAAACATAAATATAACAATAACATCACAACAATTGAAACATTTTCCTATCTGTCCTTTTCGCTTGTTTTCTTATTCTTTCTTGTTTTATCTTTATCGTTATGACTATATTTGCTTATTTGGGAGACTGGCTGACACAATTAGACGTATCCTGTATACATTCCCTGGTTGTTTCTTTATTGTATCGCTTAGAGTTTGAGTTTGAGTTTGGGTTTGGGTTTGACTTTAGATTTCGCCTTTGGCTTTTTGCTGAGTTTTTCGAGGGATGAGATATCAACCACACAGGGGAAACATTACTTCATATTTTCCCCCCCCCCCTTGGTCTCTTCTTGTGGATAATTACCTCTGTTTCCCACACCCTTTCCCAAACGTTGGATGAAGCCACCAAATCCAATTTCTTGCTCGTCTCTATTTCGAGTCCTCCCATCTCCCTGTCTCGTCATTCTCCCCCCTCTCTTTCTCTCCCTTTCGGAAAATTGCTGGCGATAAAAGAGGAGAGACGTTCCCTATACAAAAAATTGTCAAGTGTAATGTAAATTAAGAAAACAGGTGAAAATGGCTCTGGGTTTCCCTGCTCCCTGGCTCACCTAGCCTCATCTCTCTTGTTCAGATTTTGAGGTCAGGGACTCCATTTTATCTGTTGGATTGGGTCCACTTTTTCCTCTCCTAGTGCTCTCCTCTTCTCTTCTGATGCCCAAGTTCATTTCGAAACTGTCGATATATTATTTCCCTTTATGTGTGGGTCACATGCATCGCTTCCTTTGTTCGCCTCGTAGAAAACAGCCGAACTTTGAGGTTTTCCGAACCTCTCTCATCACCACTTTCCCCATTGCCTAATTCCGTTTCGAAACTTCTTTCTCGATCGACTTTGAACTGGTATTTTAATAGTGTGCTGTGCGCATTCAAATCCCTTACCAATACAATAAATAAATATATGCTTGTGTTCTCTCTCTTCTCTCTCAAATAATCAAATTCCAACTGCCCCTTCTCCATCCATCCTCCACATCCACCACCACCCCCTGTCCTCTGGCTGTCTTGTAGTTGTGACAGTCGAACTTCCGGAAAAAAAAAATACTCGATTCTGATTTCTTGTTATCTCAATTTTAAAAATAAAGCAACCTTACTTTTTCCCAAAATAAAAATGTTATATAACTTATTCTTTCAATGGATTTTTTTTTTATTAAACCCTTTTACTAATAATACCTTTGCTTCCTAGTGTTATTTCCTGATATCTATTTTGAAATATAACTGCATCATTGAGCTTTAAAAAAAAAAAAGGATTATCTTTACTGACAACCAATCATACCCACCCACACAAGCACACACCCTTTCATATTATTAATTGTGAAAATTCCATTGTTCAAGGCAAGCTAAATTAAACTAAATACTGGAAAGTAGTACTTCACATTCTGGATCAAGACTAAATATAAATATAGATAGAAACATGGTTAAGTTCGTTGAGAGTCTATGCGATGAGGTAGATTCGGATTTAGAAAGAGACATCTCCCGTAGAGAAAGCAAGAATCATTCGCCAGTGTCACATCATCAACACATCCATGTTCATGTAGATGGTGAATACGATAGTGATGGCTATCATAGTATTTATAGTGCCGATAGCTATGTGGATTCAAATGTCCAGGCCTATGCTCCAGGCATCGGACAAGCTGATTTAACTGAAACAAAAAAAAAAGATTTGGAAGTTGAAGAAGCAGAAAATCTGATAGGTGGTTCAGATATTGGTCTAAGGAGCCATACACATAGCATGGTATCGATTCATGGTACAAGATCTATTTATGAAGACGACAAAGCTCCAAAGAGCACCACTGTTTCCGGCAGCAAGACTCAAACTTTTGATTCCGACAATATAGCAGATGCACCTTCCAATAACGTTTTTAATTTCTCATTACCATTTGGAGGTAATTCGATTTCCGCTAAAAAATCACCTTTGAGTTCTTTAAAGACTATGCTGAGTGCAGATGTGTTTACAGAGGACTGCTATAAAAAGGAAGAGATAAGATCAAGACTACAAAGACAGGACTCTATTTCAACACTGGACGAAATCACCATGTATAAAGATGAAAGAGGTATGGATAATGTAAGAACAATAGCATTAAAGGAGTCCTTGCAGATGGATTCTTTGAAAAATACCATCAAAGGTATCACCAGAGATATTCAGAGATTGACAGGAGATGAGGTGGTGCAATCCAGACTGGAAACCATTTATGATGAATTGGAAGGTGATATTATAATTATGGGCGGTTACCGTGGTAGTGTTCTTCGTGATTCACTCACAGGTAAGAGACTTTGGATTCCACTAAAGGCAGGTTTGAATATGAGAAAGGTTGACCTTGTTCTAGGACCTAGGAGAAAAGATGAAGTAAACTCTGAAAAACAGGTGGTACCAGATGGAATGTTGACTTCGGTTGGTCCAGTCGATATTGCTAAAAAGCTGATCCGTAAATTGGAGGAAAATCGTAATGTTCATGTACATGAATTTGGTTATGATTGGAGATTATCTCTGGATATTACGGCTAAAAAGTTAAGAGACAAGTTAAAGGTGATTAAGAATAAGCAAAAGGTGAAGAAGGGGGTGTTTATTATCGCCCATTCAATGGGTGGTTTAGTCGCTCATAAAGTTTTACAAGAGGATACAGACCTGATTAGAGGGATTATATATGTTGGTTCTCCTAGTCAATGTCCAAATATCTTGGGTCCTTTAAGATTTGGTGATGAAATTATGTTGAATAAAAAGGTATTAAGTGATGAAGCTAATTTCTTTATGAGAAGTAGTTTCACCTTTTTACCAATGGATGGTCGTTGTTTTGTCGATAAGACACAACGTAAAAGATACGATCTTGATTTTTTTGACCCAGAAGTATGGGTAGAATTAGGGTTATCACCACTAGTAAGTAAGAAAAGAAAGGAGTACATCGCTGAACAGAAAGCTTCAGATGTGAAATCGAATGACTCGTCGATTGTAAGCGTCGATGCAGTAATCAGTGGATCTCAAAAATTAATAAAAACTTTGAATCCGATATCAATAATTAAAAACGTCACCTCTGTCGGTGATACTGTTAAAATAGAAGAGGATACAACTGAATTTAATTACAAAACATCTTATGAGGACAGTTATAAATATCTGGAAAGAACATTAAAAGATACTAAGCAGTTCCTCAAAAGTTTAGAGTATATCGAAGGCAAAGAATATCCGCCATTAGCAATTGTTTACGGTAACCAAGTACCTACAGTTCGTGGCGCTAAAGTAGATGGTCTTCAGGACGTAATAGATGGTAAATATTTTGATTTTTATTATGGACCGGGTGATGGTGTGGTTCACCATCATTGGTTGCTACCTGAAAGGAGAGGGTTCCCTGTTGTAGCAAAAGTAGCATCACCAACAGGTCATGTCAGTTTATTAGGAGATTTAGAGTCCATTGCTGAGGCATTTATCGGAATTTTAGATAGTGAAAAGAGCAAGGAAAAGTCTAAATCTTCAAAATCAACTACATTGGTCAAGAAAAAATAATATCTTGGTACAGATTTTTTGCATCTAATTAACATCTTTAATATATAATTATCAACAATATTATTTCTGTATTATCAAATTATGTCACATTATCATTCTTATGTTTCCATTTATTATGTTTCTATTTATTATGTATTAGCGCTCAATAATTTACGTATTGTGCAGTATTAAGAGACATCCCTTGTTTTTGTTTTTTAATTATTCATAGGCATCACCCACATCGAAATGCACTTTCAGCCATTGGCTACAAGAAGAACATTGAACTAACAACTGAAAGCCTGTTTGAGTGGCATCATTTTCAGTAACATGTTCTTCCAAAGTCTCCTCCGTTAATTGAAAACCTTCCTTTGCTTTACAACGTGGACAATCTAAAGTATAATGATAATTAACAGGATTGAAAATGAATTCATCTAAAGAATATTCATCCAAACCATCACCACAATTATGGAACCCCTGTAAATTATTAGATTTTTCTAGCATATTATTATATTCAGCCCTTAATACTGGGTTGCTCAAGACTTTATAGGCCTCCTTAATTCTATTGATGTCAGTGGAAGGCATGATATTAGCCTCTATACCTGTCTTATCAGGGTGAGAAGTAAGTAATCTCTCTTTATAAGCCTTTTTAACATCTTCGAGTGATGAATCAAGATCAACCCCTAGAACCATATAATGGGTTACAGAATCAGTTTTGCTCGTCATATTTCTCTTGCACTTGTATTGCTTTGAATCATAAGCTCAATGTATCTACAATGATAATACCTTAAAATCACCTCGGAAAAGCCTGCTCTCACTTGGTAATATATTGTTAACACTTCTGGCACCCAAATTTAAATCGAAGTGATGGTAATTAACTTATCGGTGGTACTATAGTCCCTTGTAATGAATAATTATCTTCACCAAAATCACGTGACTCTCTCCTAAATTAAAACAGTCAGATGAAAAAAAGTACCTTTCTAATCTCTGCTTTCGACTTGGAACCCAACAACCAACTATTTCTTGCTCAATCAACCTTTAATTAGCCAAATAATGTAATCATCAACAGCTAATAAACTAACCATCCATCATTTCATTCACTCTCTTTTCACTTTCTTCCTTAAATATCAAAATTTGATCAATTTTCACCAATTTTGAAAAATTCGATACTTTCTGAAAAACTGAAAAATTTTTCAGTGCAATGAGATGAGATGAGATGAGATGAGATGAGATGAGGTAAACATTTAAGATAGGTTTTTAAAGCTCTATTGTAATTATATTTGAAATATCTGTTTGTTTAAAGTGTTCATATTTGGTTTAAGAGAAGCAGTATCGATTAATTTGTTGGTCTCTGTGGTTGTTTTTGTATTTTAGATTTTGAAAAGTGTTGAAAATTGATATTGATAGAGATTTAAACAATGGGTTCAAAACAAGATATTTCGGTAGAAAGTGTTCAGGATCAAACTTCTGTGGCCATTGGTAGTTTCTTTAAAGGGTTTAATGTACCAAATGAAACCTCTTTTGAATTATACAAGAAGAAGAATTCAGATGGTGAGTTTGTTGTACATGGTGAAAACAGTAGACTAGAGTACGAAGGTTCTACTGATTCAACAGCAAGTGATTCTGTTCAATATGTTGTTGGTGTCTACGATCCATCAAAGAAGAACATTAAGCTATATAAAGCTCCTTTAGTGCAATGTAAAGTTATCTCAAAATCAAGTAAAAAATTAAAAGGTCCAAAGATTAAAAGTAATGAAACCCGTATGTCTATATTAAGAAATGCATTAGGTGAAGCATTTGGTACTAAAAAGGCCAAAAAAGCTATTATGGATCTAGAAAAGAATCGTGTCGATGCTGATAAATTAGTTGAATCTGCTATTGACATCGTCGATTCTGTTAAAGCTGCTTCAAAGGACCTACCAAGTAAGGCTGATTTGGATGAAATGGTCTCAAACGATAGACCAACACCATTGGCTAATGTTGAAGCTACAGATGTTGAAGAAATTTACCCAATTAATAATATAATACCCAAGAGAGAATGGCAATTTATTAGAGTTGGTCCAATTATTAAAGAAGAAGATCAAGAACAAAAATTGGAAATGTTCCCATATACAAAATCTCAATATATTTCCAAAAAATTGTCAACTCTTTCACAATCAAACAATATGACCAAATTACAATTATTATATTATTTATCATTACTACTAGGTGTCTACGATAATAGAAGAGCCAATAACAAGGATAAATTATTAGAAAAGCTAAACTCCCCACCTGAAATTTTAATTGATGGTGTTTTGGATAGGTTCACAATCTCTAGACCTGGTCAATTTGGTAAATCCAAAGATCGTTCTTACTTCATCGACCCACAAAATGAAGATAGATTGTTGTGTTTCATCTTAACTATCATCTTACACTTGGACAACTTCATTGTAGAAATTTCTCCATTAGCTCAAGAATTGGGATTGAAACCATCAAAAGTCGTTAGTTTATTCAGAATCTTAGGTTGTATTGTCAAGGGTGCTACTGTTTCCCAAGCTGAAGCCTTTGGTATTCCTAAGAGTGCTGCTTCTACTTACAAGATTGCATCTCTAAAAGTTCCTTTCAAATTACCAGAAATGGTCAGAAGAGGAAGAGGTCCAAGACGTTAGTTTCTATATATTACTACTTCTGTTGCATAACAACAATTTAATCTGGTTTGTCATTTTATATACTTTAATTCGATTTGTATGTATTTCAAACTTCTGTCCTTGTATATTCAAATTATCAAAGTTTCTGGGATGTGTTTTAACGTAGAAATTATAAAAATGCAAATGCAAATGCTTGTTCAATTATCAGTATATATATATATGTATGTATGATTTAGAAATTTTGCATAAAAGAAGAAAAACCTAATGATTTATTAATGCAAAATCCCAATTTATTCATTCCGATACTCTATTAATATCTACCCATTCTATTAATGATTTTTGTCTCTCGTCTCTCTTCACTTTGAAGAAGTGGTCAGTAAATTGTGCAGCATTCATATGATTCAAGAACTTTTCGTCATGAGTAATAACAATCAATTGGAAATTTTTCTGGTTCCTTCTGAATTGGATAATATTATTCAATGATTTAGCTAAACTTTCTATGTTTTCTTCATCTAAATTGGTAGTTGGTTCATCAAGTGCAATAACACCACAATTGATACCAAATGTTTCTGACAATGCTAATCTAATTATAATTGATGCCAACACTTTTTGACCCGCAGAACATCTACCTCTCATGTCTAATTCCGCATCTTGCTTATACATAACAACACGGTAATTATATGATTTCCCCTTCGTTGAATTTCCTACTTCATCTGATCGGATTTGAATCGAATCTACATCTGTTCCACTATATGTCTTTTTCCATAATTCATCGATAATGCGATTGATATCTTGCATTTTCAGACCGTGATATTTCATAATGGCACTATCTAGTGCTCTACTATAAGTATCAATATCATCAGTAACAAATGATTTGGTTTGTAACTCAACCCAGCCCTTGTGGTAATTGTCATCAACATTCTTATAGTCAATTTTTAATTGTTGGTTCAACGACTCTATTTGGTTTTGTAATTGTTTCATTTCACCTAATTTCCCTGCCTTTTCTGAACTGAATTTCTCTATCATATTTCTTAACTTTAATGATTCCTGCTGATATTTATCTCTTTCATTTTCTGCATTTTCAATATCGAATGAACTGATTTGTTCTTCAATTTGAGATAACTTGTCCTTTAAACCAATTAATTCAATATTCTGTAGGAGATTTTTCTTTTCATTATTGGAATCATTTAAAATTCTACATTGGTCAGTTAATGACTTGTTTTTACTGTCAACATTCTCCTTTAAGGAATCGATTATATTTCTTACTGAAGATAATTCTCTTATACAATTATCAAGTTCAGTAGAACCTTTGGATTCATAATTCCTTATAGCACTCGAATATTGATCAACTTGTTGTATAAAGCGGTTAATAGAATCGACATCTTCTTGTTTAGTAGTTGATTCCCTCGAAAAATTGTCTTCCACAGACTTGCAGTCCTTCAAAACTTTTTGAAGTTTATTATCTAAATCAATAATTTCGGAATTCAATTTTTCGATCCTGCCTGCAATTTCAGAATATTCTTCCCTTTTGGTCCTAAAGTCTTCCTCGATTGATTTTCTCCTTCTCAGTGATGCTTCGATTTGTGATATTTTGATATTTCTTTCTTTGATAAGATTCATCAAGGAAGAAAGTTCGTTGGATTTAGCTTCCCTTTCTTCTTGGAGCTGGACTACTTCCTTTCTACTGGTTCTTAAAGTATCATTGTAAGTTCTTTGTTTACTCTGGAGCTCTTCAATTGTTTGGACTCCATTTTCTATCCCTCCAAATACTTTCAATTCATCTGAAATCATGTCGACCTCAGCTTGTAAATCTCGAGTCTCTGTTTTTAATCTAGTAATTAGTTCAACTTTTGATTTTAAATGGGTATCAAAGTAATCTCTGGATTCTTTTAAATTATTCCCCTTAGCTTCTATCTCCGCTAATTGATCGTGAAACTTATCACACACTTTTCTTTGCTCATCAGATTTTGATGTCAATTCAGTCAATTTATCTTTAGCTGTATTTAGAGTGATGATATCCTTTTCCAATTTTCTTAACTGATCCAAGAATGTTTTCTCAGATTCGACAGTCTCCTTCAGAGTTACTTCAAATTCATCGTTTGTTCTTTCTTTCAATTGATTTAGAAGGGAAGATTTAAATGATTCATCATCAAATGCCCTTGAACAAAGATAACAACAATTATTGTTTTCAGCTATTTCCAATGCCTTTTTATTAAAAGCTAATGTAGTTTGATGCATCTTTAAGTTTTCCAAAGCAGTTTTATAGGATTGCTCTGATTCTAGTAACATGTCACCATATTCTTCAATAGGGCAATCTTCAGGTAAGGTATCTTCTAGATGTTTAGTTAACTTTTCAATTAGTTCTTTATTTGAAAACATATCGTTCTGTAAGTTTGTTGACCTGATTGAGGCTTCCGTGTGCTTTTTATTTAATTCATTTGTATCTTTATTATTAAGGGCAATTGACTTCTGGATGTTAATATAACTCTTGTTAAAATCAATTCCAATATCATTTGAATCCACAAGGTTGGTGGACTGAGCTATTGGATCTTGCGAGAATTGGTTCTCAGTATCTAATAGTAACTTTTTCTTTTCAGCCAGAGATCTTTTTAGAAGAGATAATTTTGCAAATAAATCAGATTGTTGGTTTATTTTCATTATACGCTCCTGCAAATTTTCTAATTCACTTTCCAGAAGAACCATTTCGTTATTCTTTTCTTTGATCTTTAGCGATAATTTAGATACACTGTCATCGGCTTCGAGTTGTTGGAATTTTGAAGTATATTTATCTATAGAATCCTTTTCATTTTTTAAGTCAGCGTCTGTGAATTCACTCCCTGATAGGTCAAGTTCCAAAGTCTCAACTACTTTTTTGATTTTATCTTTATCCATCAAATTATACTCTAATTTTTGGCGTTGCACAGCTAGAAGTTCTGTAATCGAAGCTTTATCTTTATTTAGCTCTGTGATTTTTTCATTGTACTTATTTTTATATTCTTGATAAGCTGTATTTTCTTGTGTTTGCACAGACACTAAGTCAGATATAAATCTACCAATGTTAGTAGGATCGATGGGCTTTATATGATAGTTATTAATAGCCTGTGTCTCGATTTCCTTTAGAGATTCAATAGACCTTTCATAACTTTTTTTATCAGAATCCAATGCACCTTTTTTGCTTAGCAGTTGATCGGCAGTCCTTTGAGCATTTTCTATATTAATTTTATCATTTTCCAATTCTTTTCGTAAATTTGCAACTTCAATTTCTTTGTTCTTTAAATTTTCAGAAAAATTTTCCAGAATTTCTTTCAATTCACTTTCAGGTAAATCCATTACTTCTATTGAATTCTCCAATCTATTAATTAAATCTGAGGTTGAAGATTTCGTTCCTTTTAGATTTTCTATATGTGATAAGGTTTTTTGAAAATCTTGATTTGAGGTAAATAATATATCTGACTGTTCAGTTAGTTCGCGTAATTGTAATTCAATTGACTTTATCTGGTCTTGGTATTCTTTGTATTTACTTGATAATTTGTTTATATTTAATTTTGTCACTTTTGATCTATCTCTATCCACTTTCAAATGTTCTACATTTTGCTTCAGTAATTTGATATCTACTGACATGTCTTTTTTGATCGATTTCAAATTATCTAATGCTTTTGTAAATTTCATTGCTTGGAAGATTTCATCGAACTTTTTCTTTAAATTTGAAGGTTCACTTAATGGCCAAAGACTATCTTCTTGATGGCAAAATATCACATATTCTAGAATAGCCTTTGGTACCCCCATATACAATGGGACTTGGGTATCCAACTCCAACGCTCTTGTACTCAATGTACTTCTGTCACCTTCTTTATTTATTGCCACTAGTTGACCTTCTAGTGTTTTGAAAGTAGTTGTAGTTTTTTTCACTAATAATTGGATATTTCTAGTAACAATCATATTCAGTCCATTGGCGCTAGTAAAAGCCAATTTAACTTGGGCTCTTATATCTTTTTCACCAGTAATTTTTGGATCATGTACAAAAGCACCACCTTTGGAATTTGGAGGTAAGTCCCCGGTAGTAGCATATTTCAAACATTCTATAATTGTAGTCTTACCTGAACCGTTGCTCCCTACAATTAGAGTCAAAGGCTTACCAAACTCAATAGTTTCTCTATCGTTTGAATCGAATGATCTGATACCTTGAATAGATAATTTATAAATTGCACTCATATTCTTCTAAAATGAGAGATACAAGCCAAGTGAAACTGTGAGTGAAGGTATCAGTAATCAAATTGAAAGGTAGACCCTAATATTTGACTTATGAATTGGTTATCTTACTAAATCTCTTGACTAACTCAAGTCAACTCAACTTAACTTTTGAAGATTAACGATGAGTTATTAGTACGAAGGTTCCTTAGATATTCCTATTTTACATAATATGAATTTATATATAAATTTAAATGAAGAAAATAATTTAAGGTCATTTTTCCTTCGATATATAACCCAGAAAAAATAAAATTCCGTAATAAAAATTTTGAAAGGAAAAATTAGTCACGTGATGGAAATGGAAATGGAAACCGATAATTGTATCTTTCCTCTTCCATTCATTATTTTGCAGTCTTTCCGACAGCTAACATCAATTTTCTTTAAATAAATAACAGGGTGATATTTGAATAAATTGAGAGAGGCAAAGTATCTTTACCTTTTGTAATTTTAAATATACACTCGATTACTGACAATAAAGAAAATTCAGTTTAGCTGCGATTCCTTTCCCTTCTACTTTACAAAGTGCAGTTTGTTCTTTAAAGTGTGTAATTAAATGTATCAAAGCGAATAAAATTTAAGTTGAATATCTGTCTGCTTTATATACCAATTGAATTACAGATATTTGTGTCAATTTAAAATTTTGTGGCATTTAAAATTTTGTGTCACTAATTTATTTATTTATTTTTTCTTCACTTTTCTTTTTCTTTTTGAAAACAAATTTGAAATAGTCACATGACCTATGGTCACTGTATTCTTTGTTGTGAATTCTTAATTTATAGATATCTAGTAATCGTACGTTGAATAAGTGCTTGGTATTGCTTTTATTCTATTCGTCTATTTGGTGGTAGATTAGTACTGTTAATAAGTATATTTATTAATAAAGAGTTCTATATCTTCTTCTTCTAATGTACAGAGTAAGTAAATAATATACAATAATATACAATTGAATCAAATAGCAGTCACTATTAGTCTTTATATGTGTCAACCATAACAACACGTATTATCTGGTGTCATAGATCTTTACTAATTCGTATGAAGCTATGTTGAAACAATACAAATATCGGCGGCTTCGAAAGGTTAGTCTCTCTTGGGTTCTTTTGCGATATATTTATCAATATCTCCTAATGTCTTTAAGAAATATTTTCTTTCCTTATCGCCATATACTCTTGTGTATTCGGCAGCTGTTCTAATTGCCGATCCATAAAAGCTATATGCTGGTTTCAATTTCGAGCCGTCATAGGTCGCTTTTCTTACCTTTCCATCTCTGTCTCGTAGCTTATAAGTGTTTTTCGCTACAACTTCTTCAATGTGGTATGGTCCATCCCAAGTTGGTTCGAACGTATTCTTCTTTACACGGAGTCGATAGACTATTTCACCACGGGTATAAGGTACATAATTATCAGTATCCTTTCTCGCATTCTTTAATAGTTCTCGAATTTTAATTCTTTCGTCTGTCATTTTGAGACGAATATCGTTCGTTTTTACATGACTCATCAAAGATAGATGTGCCTGTTCTTGGTTTGTTATCTGCTCCCCGGTTTCGTTGTTTTCTTTCTGCAGAAGACTCTTAACTGCTTGTTGGAAATCAACTTCAATGTTCTCACTTGGGAGACCAAATGCGATCTCTCTAGGGGAATATCCATAAAGCATCTTTGTGTTATTGACAATATTGGCGGCAACGAAAATATTAGTTACCCAATTAGTAAAGGTAGGGTCCAATTTCTTTAAAACCTCTTTAATCATCTTAACACTTCTTTCAGCTTTAGAGTTACCTCTAGGGTGGTAAGCCGAACTCTGGTAATATTTAAGTTTCAGACTTCGAGCTACCTGTGGTATAATGGCGTTCGCAAATTGTCGGCCATTATCTGTAATCAACATATGGGGACTTCCAAATATAGCATAAATTGCCCGCATGATTTCATAGACACTGTGGAAGGTTTGTTCTCGTAACGGTTTTACGAGTATGAGATTTGATGTATAATCTGCAGCTAGGAGGAAATATTTATAGCCATCTTTGTCTTTTAACGGTCCAGCAAAGTCTAAATGCCAACGGCTAAAGACAGGAATTCGACGGATCTCAGGTAATTCAATGGGGATGTCGCGAAACTTTTGATAAGTCTCACAACGGGGACATTGTTTTACAACATCAAGTAGTAGGAGATTTGAGTTAGGATTCCATAGTTTCTGGTCGTTCATGGCTAATTGCAAGACTCGATGAGTACAGTGGTATAATCCATGTAGCTTGGTAGCTACTTCAATATAGTCGTTGTCAATGACAACGCGATACAGAACTAAGTCCAGATTAATATAAAGAAGATCCGAAATATAAAGAAATTTATCAATAACTTTAGAAAACAGATGTGGAATGAGTGTCTCTTTAGTAGATAGGAGTGTTTGGATTTGAATCAGCTGCGACATGGTTAAAGAATTGACATTGTCCACCACGTAGTTTGGGTCCAATGATTCTTCAGTTTCGTCTTGTTCAGAAGGAGTAGTGTTAGAAGTAATCTCAGGTGTATTAGTGTTATCAGTGGAAAGTGGAACAGAAGAGGCTGGATCAATAGTAGTGGAATTAGGGCTCGCATCTGTTGAATTGAGATTCAATGAGGAGAGAGTAGCTACTGGTAAGTCAATAGCGTCTTTCTGTAAAAGATCGAGGTCTAGTTCTGGTTGATCTTTTAAACCGAAACGACTTAAATAATCTGCCAACACGTTCTTTGTGCCAGGAAGATATTTCCATTTGAGTCGATGTCCATTTAATAAATCTAGGAATTTCGTAAACCGTGGATGGGTATTGCGATCGGAATTTCCAATACTGATAATACCTTTGTTGTCTGTATAGATAGTGATCTCAGAAGATAATAATAAATTACCCTTTTCCAATGCATGTAAAACAGCAAAGAGTTCTCGTTCGACCGTAGAGTAGCGCTGTTGGGTAGGTGTAAAACGAACGGAGAGGAAAGTAATTGGAAATAGGATTTGTTTCTTATTATGAGTTTCGGGTTGAAATATTATTGAAGCACCACCGGTTAAACTGGCATCTGTAAAGATGATGGTAGGAGCAGTCGGATCAAATAGTTTTAAGGTGAGAGATCTAGTGATCCATTCCTTAAAATGGTTAAGTGGAGGTGTTAACGTATGAGTAATTTCTTTCACAGGAGGTATTGTAGGATGAATTTTTGGGTCGATCATAGAGTAAAACGGACGTAGATGTTCCGAATTGCTTTACCTTTATGAACTAGGTTTACGAAATATTCTCTGGCATCATCTCCTGCTTTAGGATTGAAGTGAGAAAGTTCACTCAATTCGGATTGGGTTCTTGCACCGAAATCAAAGGTTTGAAAGAATTTTGCAATAGCTGTTGTCCAGTCGACAATAAAACCTCGTTGATCAGTGAGATAACTGCGAGCATTTTTCTTACAACAGGAATATAGGAAATTTCCCCAGTCTTGAAAACGAACATGTTTTCCCACTAATAAACCCTGAATAGTAAGCAGAACATCAAGCGGGTCTTCAATATCTTCATCTTTCAAAATGGCGTCATTATTCATTGGTACCGAAACGTCACTATAGTTTTTGGTACAATTAGCAACTAAACTATGATTTCCATAGATTACCAACGACGGGAAGTGTCTTTCCACTTTTGCTAAAGTCTCATTTTGAGATGGTAATTTTGATCTGCTTTTAAATCCATTTGTATTATTTGGATTTCCATTATTAAGTCTCTCTTCTATTTGAATAATTCTCTGTTCCATCAGAGATGCCTTTGATTCATCTTCGATGATTCTATTGGTGATCTGTTTTTCGTTTTCCTCGATTCCAATAATTTCTTCTTCGTCTTTCTTAAGGTTGATTCTCATTTCTTCTTCATTTCTTTGAAGTTTTGAGAATTGAATTGAGGCTTGTTCCAATGTTTTTCCATGTATCTCTTCCGTACGGCTTTGAGCTTTGAACATACCTGTTAATTGCTCAAGCAAAGATTGCATTTCCTGCATTCTTTTATCGTTGTTAATAGAGTTAGCTTTGACTTCCTTCATGTCTCTGCTAAATTCACCCATTTGTATTTCTAAGTTTTGTAGACGAGTTTCACCTGTGCTGACCGTTTCAGCATCAGTCATAATTTTATCACCGTCCATTGTTAATGATAAATAAGGTAATCAAATTTCAATTGATTTATTAAATTGTAAATAAAGTTTCGATTTACAAAAATATATTTTTGTATTCTTTGTTGTGAATTCTTAATTTATAGATATCTAGTAATCGTACGTTGAATAAGTGCTTGGTATTGCTTTTATTCTATTCGTCTATTTGGTGGTAGATTAGTACTGTTAATAAGTATATTTATTAATAAAGAGTTCTATATCTTCTTCTTCTAATGTACAGAGTAAGTAAATAATATACAATAATATACAATTGAATCAAATAGCAGTCACTATTAGTCTTTATATGTGTCAACCATAACAACACGTATTATCTGGTGTCATAGATCTTTACTAATTCGTATGAAGCTATGTTGAAACAATACATCACCGAACATAGTTGTTACCCTCCTTTTGCTTCTGCCCCCTCTCTCCCCCATTCCTCATCTGCTCTTTATCAGTTCATACCAACAAATGGTTCAGTAAAAATACGGAAAAATACTCAAATTAGAAGCACGTGCCACATCGTCGTCCTCTTTTCTCCAGCCATTTCTCCCTCACCCTTACTGCCACTCACTAGTTACGAACAAGATGTCAAAATCGTTTTGTTTTGTTGTTTTTCCCGTCGTTGCTTTTTTTTTCTTTAATTTTTTGCTTCCACATTTCAAAACAGAACAAAAAGTATAAAAGGCCAAGAATTTTTGGAAGAAAGGAAAAGAATGAACATCTTCAAATTGTACCTCTTTGTAAAAAATTTGGTGTGTTTTTTTTCTATTTGTTGTTTAGTTTAGGTTATAAATAACAGATATATAAATAAAAATAATAGACAAATTTAGATATTGAGTTCGTTATTAAGTTATTCAACTAATAGGAACAAAATATAGATATTTACATATATATATATATTGTAATTGGTAAAAAGTGTAAGACTAGTGTGCTTAAATTAATTGTATTTCAATTAACTACCACTACTACTGATAAAATATTTTTTTTATTTTAAAATTCACAGTTAAAAGTTTTATTATATATACTTACGCATTGTTACTCACGTACCCCTGTAAGAGAGTTTAAATTTTTTTTTTAAAATTATCGTATTGTTGACTTAATTATTTAAAGTGATTGTGTTGCCGTCATTACCTCCCCCCTCCTCCTCAACACATCGTATAATAGTCTATAAAATAAAATTCGTAAAGTAAAAGAAAACAAACGATTTCGAAAACGTACTGTTTTTCACTATTTAATTCATCATTCCTTTTATTATTGAAATAAACAATAACTTCACGTAGAATAATTTGTATTCGTAGAAAGAAGTTCCAAGGAAATATAAAACAACATTAAACAATTTATTTTTATTTTTTGCAAAAGAATACCATTAAGCATTAAGCTAATCGAAATAATACATCTAGAAGATTAGACATTAGTACAAAATACCATAAAAGTTTGAGAGGAAAGAAGCAAATTCAGACAAAAAAATAAAAAATCACAAGATAAAACAGATAATATTGTACAAAATGAGTGAAACTGAAGCATTTCAAGACTTTGTAACAACCTTGGAATCATTTAAAGAATTAAAATCCGGTATTTCGGGTTCACGTATTAAGAAATTAACAACTTATGCACTTGATCATATCGAAGAAGGTGAAAAATTGATATCCCTAATTATAAATTATTCAAAAACTTGTCAAGATTCTCACAAATTAGGTTCTTTATATATTATTGACTCGATTGGTAGAGCCTATCTAGATGAAGCAAGATCCAAAAGTGAATCGATCGAATCATCTTCTCCTTCTGGTACTTTTGGTCATTCGCTTTACGTTTTAACTAATGCAATTGAAGATTTATTGGCCGAAGCAATTGCTAAAAGTAATAGTGATCATAAAGATAAGATACGTGTTCTTGTAGATATTTGGGATAGATCAGGATTATTCCCAAAGGAAATAATAAATTCGATTAGAAATAAATACATTTCACCTGCATCTGCATCTGTAGCCGCATCCGTATCATCAGAAGACAATAATTCATCCAAAGAATCTATCGATAAAACTCCTGAACCTCTACCAGAAGACCCACGGGAAAGATGTATTAAAATTTTAGAAAATATAAAACCATTGCCTTTTCTACCTAAAATTGAAATTTCAGATAAATTATCTTCAGAAAATATCTCAGATCAACAGTTCGCTTTATTCCAGATTTTAACAGGCTTACAACAAAATAAAGATTTCCTAAAACAGAACGTCAAAGTCGATTCTAAAACAATATCCTCACCTTCACAACAGGATCAAAGACAACTGTCTGATCAACCTTCACAACAATCTCAACATGTTACTACTGAATATGGTAGCAGAAGAGATCGCGAAAGAGAAAGAGAAAGATACTCTTCAAAGAGAACAAGATCAAGATCGCCTCCAAGAAGATCTCGCGATCACAGTCATAATTACTCTCATGAATACATGGGCAGTGGTTCAAATTCAAGCACCCAAAGTAGTAACATGGCTACAAATAATCATCACTTATACCCAGATGAAGTTAACGTTCCAAGTAATTCTCATTATAGACCAAAACCTGTCAGTTACGATCCTAATTTACCTCGTGATACTGTTAAAGTGTTGAGTCGTACTTTATTTATTGGTGGTGTTCCATTAAACATGAAAGAATGGGATATTGCAAGCATATTAAGACCTTATGCAGAAGTTCAAAGCGTTATTTTAAATAATGCCAGAAAACATGCATTTGTTAAAGTATATTCAAGACGTGAAGCAGAATATGCTTTAATGAATTTTAACAAGGATGGTTCATCTCCACTAAGAACACGTTGGGGTGTAGGTTTCGGTCCAAGAGACTGTTGTGATTATCAACATGGTTTCAGTATAATTCCAATGCATAGATTGACTGATGCTGATAAAAAATGGTCAGTAAGCGCCCAGTGGGGTGGTACCAGTGGAGAGCCTCTAGTCCCAGGTATTTGTTTTGAAGAACCAGATATCGTTGTTGGTGAAGGTGTCTCATCAAAAGCCATTTCACAAAAGATGCCAACAGATTCAAATAGAAATGGACCAAGATCTGGTAAGGGCGAAATGGTACCAACTCAAAACGTTCCACAATACGGCGCTTACCCTCCAGAGCAAAGGTATTCAGGTTATCCACCACAACAAAACATGGGATATAATCAACCAATGCCACAACAGGGTGTAGATGAATACCAACAACCTCCACCTCCTCTACCTCCTCAACAACAGCAACAGCAACCACAACAATCATTTGATCCAACTGCTCATTTGAACTCATTAATGAGCATGTTGAACCAACAACAACGTTAATAAATAATATAGCAAGGAACCATATGTAACTATCTAATAAATTAATTAATTCATTAAGTTGATATATGTTCAAATACAAAGATTATGTCAAAAATCGTTTCCCTAGTTGAACAATTACTTGAATATTTCAATTCCATGTTTCTTAGTGGTAATACCATCAAAATTTAATTTCAAAAAATTACCATTGATGCATTGGAATTATTTTAGACAAAAAAAGAGTTAAGTTGTAAGGTTTATAATAAATATTAATCTTCTTAACCAGTAAGTTCTTAATATATTATCTGTTTATAATTGCTGACGCCATTATTAAGTTTAACTTGTTACCCTGACAACATATTTGGAATACTTAAGGTTTACCCGGCCTTCTCAATTTGAATGAAATTTCTTCGAATCTGGAATACTTGAAGCATTTAACAATTGAATAAATTTGATGAATAACTTATAAAGACATAAAGTATTTATTGATCAAGGTGTCTTTATGATAACTCAATAGTCTGACAAGAATTGTAGGTCTATACTTGTTATTTTCCCTTCCTAGAGTTTTCCATTGATGTTGACTTTTAGACGAGGCATGGCCACTACGGCTAAGAAAGCAGCAGATGGTGCAATTTTATCATCCATTGTTCTTTCTAGAAATCCAATTGTCACTCCGGATTTGACTGAAATGGAGAGCAATTACTATAAGTACCAGTCTGGATTGGAAAGACGTCTGATGTGGACTTTCCCGGATTATTTCTATTTTAAGAAAGGTACTTTATCTCAAAATAAGTTCGCAAATTTACAGAAAGGTCCAATCTCAAAATTACCTGGTGTTTGGTTTCCAAAGGGTCTTCCAGATATCAAGCAAAGTAGAGAAAGAAGCCAAAAACAAAATGTTCTTCTTCCTAAAGGCGCTTCGAATGAAGGACCCTCGAAAGAAGAAGATTTATCTAGACCAGTTGTACCAAATTCAAGAATTACAGAAGCTGATAAAAAGGGCGATATCTCAAGTATAGAAAGAAAATTGAGTAGAACATTATATTTATTAGTTAAAAATAAGGGAGGAAAATGGACATTCCCTAAATTTGAAGTCTCTGACAATAGTGGTTTACATATTAGAGTAGAAACTGGCTTGAGAGAAATAGGTGGTGAGGAAATTAATACTTGGACTGTCTCAAGAACCCCAGCAGCCGTGATGAATCATAAGAACGGTTCTAATGAATTCTTTATCAAATCTCATATTTTGGGTGGTAAGTTCGAATTACAAGATCCAAGTAAAACACTAGTGACGGACTTTGCATGGTTAACTAAAGAAGAAATAAAAGATCTTGTAGATAAAAGCTATTATAAAGGAACAGAGTTTATGCTTTCCGAGATTTAGATAAATATGTTGCATTATGCATAAAATATTCATTATTCTAATAAACTATATATATAAATATATTAGTATTAATCCTGTAAATAAGATATACTGATAGGTTAAATTTACTGTCCTTTAAATCCTAGGCTTCAATGGTCTATTTGAAAACCGACTACCTCTTTGAGGTAGACGTTCTCTTTTATTAACAATATTGTCTTTGTCACGATCCCAACCTCTTTCACGCTTCTGAGGTTGTACTCTTCTTGCAGTATTTGATTTCTCTTGGTCTCTCTCTCTTCTATCATAAACTTGGTTTTTTATTCTCATATTTGATTCTCTCTTCACTCTTTGCTCCTCTTTCCAAAGTGACATTTCAGTCTTGGAATGTGAAGGAGTGTATCTTCTTTTCAAGATTTCATCACTATCTGAAAAAACAAACCAACACTTATCAGGATAAAATGCAAATGATAAAGAAGCAGTCGAATCTGAACATTTCAATGAATCATAAAGTTTTCCTGAATTAAATTCATAAAACTTTACTTTGAGATCAGATGTACATATAGCTAAAATTGTACCGGTGGAGGATATATCTATATTGGTAATGGAAGCGCCAATATTAGTGATTGTAATTTTACAAACTAACGTTGATAAATCCCAAATGGAAGATATCCCATCTTCACCACCACTAATCAAGAATTTTCCTGATTTATGCATCTTTAGACAAGAAATCGAAGTTCTGTGTGCCTGAATTTCTAACTGAGGAATTAACTGTCCTTCTTCATTCACTTTTAATACTTTGAGTTTACCAGATCCTAGACCTATAAAAATATGTGAGCTAGAATTACTCCAGCATATTGATTTGATTAAATCTTCCTCATTTGAATTATTATTAAGTTTAAATACAGCCTTCAATGAATATTCCTTAGTTGTATCGAATAAATGCAATTCTTCGTTTTTAGTCACCGTTATTAAATATTTCCCAGAATTATCATAAAGACAATTGTATATTTTCAATTTTTTAGCAATATTTATCCTTTTCACTACAGATAAATGATTATTGTTAAAATCTACGTTCCAAATTATTACAGAATTAGAATTTGAAGAAGTAGCAAATTGTCCAATATGATACGGATTCCATGAGATACTGTGAATAGCTTTATCTGCTCCACAGGCATCTTCCAAGTATATTCTTTTGCACTTAGTAAAACTCTCATATTCTAAACTCCATACGGTTAAAGAACCGTCAATTCTACTATAGGCTAAATAGCTACCAGCTGGATGAAATTCCATCGATAACACTTCATCTTTCGCTACAGGTGCAGCAAATCTAGAACGGGATCTGGACAGTACATGAATCCTTCTGTCATCTTCAATTACATCAGAATTCTTCTTTTCAACTAGCAATTTAACCAATTTTTCAGATAATTTATCTGTGGTCTCAATAAATTCTGTTTCAAACCCTAGCATTGGATATTAATTCTTACCCAAACCTTTTGTATGATGACCCTGTGAAATTATGTTGGTATAATGAATCCCAAATGAATTGTTTACTGGTTTAATCTTGGCTTGAAGTATCACCAACCTTTTAGCATTGCTTAAGTTCAAATCAATTTTATAGATATGTGATTTTTCACTTATAGCAGATATATTCCAAACTTAATATGAGGTGTTCGGATGTTTCACACAGATACATAAATGGTGACAAGAAATAACTTATTAAACCATCATATTATTTACAATATCAACTCAATCACAATGATAAAGTTCAATAAATATTCAATTGTCTTTGTTAAACAAATCTGATTGCTTACACTTTCTTGAGATACCTTTGAACACCAATATTTTTAAGTTTTGTCTTTAGCAACTTGCTTTCAAATTGGGTTAACAAAAACTTTAAAAACAAATTATTAAAAGCTCTACTAAAATTTTAAACTTACAATTGGATATACAAGAACACAACATTAAGATTTAGTTATTCAGTAACCTTGCTTGTAATTGAAATTTCTATCTTTCCTATATTTATTCATTGCTTCCTTTAAATTATACAAGTAGTCATCACTAAAATGATTTTAAAAAATAAGCCTTCTCTTTTAATATAAACAATGGTATCCAAGGTTAGTTAAAATGTCAAAATTGCAGACTCAAGATTAGATACAACTATCCAACAGTTGGCAATGTCTAATAAGGGACTCAAACGAAAGACATATGGCAAGAGATCATTGAATTATTCTATAAAGAATTCAAAGTTGAATTTAAATCAAGAGTCTAGCGAACATTCTAGTCGAAGTAATACTGAGCTTAGTGATGATTCTGCAAGCAGTTTTGAATGCGAGGATAGAGTACAGGACGATGAATCTTATACGAATGGTATTTCCAATCAGATTATAAATGCATTTGGAGTTCTGGAAGGTTCTAATTTGAAAGTTGAAGAAGATTCAGTAAGTAATGGTGAGAATGAATTTATAACAACTACCAACAGCGAAGAAGAAAAAATTGCTGATGCTGATGATGAACAACCGCTAGATGAAATTGAAGTGGTCAAGTTGAAGGATACAAAACTACATGTAAAATATGGTAGTCATGAACTTAAGCATTTAGGGTTGTTTGATTCAATACTTCAGAAAGTTCCATTAAAATTACATAAAAGAAAGAAAAGAACTATTATAAAAGAATTTACACAAAGGGATTTCTTAATAAAGAAACTTGAAGTAAGGGCTAAATATAACAAGGAATTTAAGCTTCCACAAGTCTTATATCATGATGAAATTATTGAAGCAATAAAACCATATATGGATATTATCATCCAACTTCTAAAGGGCAAATTGCAATCGGTATACTACGATTCAGCCAAACAGGCATTTCTGAATTCCGAGAGAGCGATATTATCAGCCCATGAATTCAGAGCTTTAGACCTCAAAAAATTTCAAGCAGGATATTATGGGTTGAGAAGACAACTATGTGTTGGTGAATATATTTATGATATTTATAAAGAAAAGATATGTTCCTTAAAATCACCCACAGCTAGATGGTGGGGTCCTAGAGACTTCTCATCTTACGTATTGGCACCAGAATTATTAATCTCAGTTTGTATTGAAGAAATGGGGTTAAAAGATGACCCAAACTACTTTGATGACAATAATGAAGGATCTGGAGAATCAGCAAGATCCAAAGCCTACTCAATTCTGCAGGACACGGTAAAGTTTGGCCAAATAGTAGCAGATACCGATCCAATGCAACCGTGGGAAGTCCTATCAGAGGAAAAAAATATAGAGAATTTACAATTAAATGTCGCTAAATATTCCAGTCGCAAATGGAGAATAGCTCTACCGAAAGAGACATAACGATGAATGAATTCTCAAAGGTAAAGACAGAGGCATTATCTGGGACAAACGTTGTTTTTTTTCCAATTGAACAGTAACTGTCTTTATAATTAGAAATACCTCATCAATCACCAAGTTTCTCTAATTATTTTGGTTCTGACCTGACTGATTGGTGTTTACTTGACCTATCTTAAAGATGATAGAGAGTGTCTTAACTAGAGGATACTTCACGTGATCTTAAAGAATTCACGTGATCTGATACCACACGTGACCAAATTATTTGTTTGTTGGTTTTTATCCCAAGCATCCAAGATCACATTTCACGGAGAAAATTTTTTTTTATTTATTATCAATTAAGAATTTGAAAGGTAAAAATCCACAAGAGATATACGAGTTATTTAAGATATGTTTGAATTATTGAAGTTTAAGCAATGAATATATTAAAGATTAATCAATAAATCTAGTAAAGTTTTGAATCAGGGTTGATTTTGAATTGATTTTGAAGCGAATCGACGAGGTTGAGGAAGAATAGGGAAGAAAGATGTCTCAGAAAGCGTGTTACATTTGTGGTAAATTAGGTCATTTAGCAGAAGGTTGTGATTCTGAAAAATTGTGTTACAACTGTAACCAACCAGGTCATGTTCAATCTGAATGTACCATGGCTAGAACTGTTGAACACAAGCAATGTTACAATTGTGGTGAGACTGGTCATGTTAAGACTGAATGTACTATTCAACGTTGTTACAACTGTAACCAAACCGGCCATATCTCTAGGGAATGTCCAGAACCAAAGAAGGGTAGATTCAGTGGATCTTCAAAACCAAATCCAAGAGTTGCTTGTTACAACTGTGGTGGTCCAAACCATATGGCTAAGGATTGTTTACAAACTGGTTCAAAATGTTATTCTTGTGGTAAGTTTGGTCATTTATCCAAGGACTGTCCATCTGGTGCTGGTGAAAAAGTTTGTTACAACTGTAACCAAACTGGCCACATTTCCAGAGAATGCCCATCTTATTAAGCTGGGTCAGGTTTTTATTAACACAAGAGGAGGAGAAGGGTTGAACGTATATCCATGAGCTGATCCTCAAATGATATTAGTCAAGCTATATGCTTTTCCTTTTATTTTATTTTTATTAATTGGGTTTTATTACATCCTCAATCATTTGAAAATTTAACTTGGGTTACTGAAAAGCAATATTGATTTGTCCAAAGTTTTTATTATTAATACATTTTTTCTTTTTTAGTATACTTTTTAAAAATTAAATTCTAACATTTTTACTCAAATCTCATCATTTTTTGTTCATGTAACAGCAATATCATACATTTTTTAAACTTCGAGATTCTACTAGTTTTTATAAACATATCTATTCGAGGAAAAAGGTTAACAAGTTGATTATTATCCTGTTTTTTTATAGTTTTAATTTTGCAGTTATTTATTTATCTGTACTATAGCTGTTTTATAATAAACATTGTATTTTTATCCTAACTTTGTACATCATGTTCTAGAGGTTCACAAATATTTTTTATTACTCTATCTCTCTATTTAAAATTATACATAGGATTAAGCTAAATCTGGTATTTTTATGAAACCAGAACTTCTTGACTGAAGACTCATTCAATGTCACGATAAAGAGTGTCCGCAATCTTAACACTTTTACCACATTCAATTGCGTTATGTACCCTAACTATATTCGTGTCATTCCCTATACATGAGGCAACTAATGCGCCAGTTGCAAAATCCCTATCCTTTGGCTCGTCATCCTTTGTAATGGTGCCAATGAATTTCTTTCTTGAAGGACCAAGTAGTACTGGTAAATTACGGAAACTAACATAAGTGTCATCATTCAAATCTACTGAGTAATTCTTCATGATTGGCAAATTTTTAATAATTGCCAAGTTTTGCTTACCGTTCTTAGCAAAACCTAACCCAGGATCAAGAAGTATTTGCCAACGTTTAATACCTTCTGAAATCGCTTTTTCATAGGATTTAGCAAGTTCTCTGGAAATTGTTCTTATGAATGAGGTTTCAGAGGATGTACTCTTTTCACCATAGATAAATTCTTCGTTTTCAGATTTATCCTCCGTATAATCATTTAATGTAACCATATTTGATATATCACCTCTAATATGAGATAAAACGTAACTTACTCTCGCATTTTTTGCAATGACCTTAAACATGTCTTTGTCAAACGATCCTCCTGAAATGTCATTAATAATATCTACGCCAGCTTCAATAGCTTTTTGCGCCATGCTTGCTCTATAAGTGTCGATGGATAGAATAATCTTTGAATTTGGAAGGGTATTTGATTCCCTGATCGCTTTGATTAAAGGAATTGTACGCTCAAATTCTTCTTCATTACTAGCTTGAGCAGAATTTGGACGAGTTGAACAACCGCCAATATCCAAAATAATTGAATCAGATAGTTGCAATGCCTTATCACAAAGTTCTTTGATATGCTTTAATTGCATATCAATATCATTATCCAACATACCATCACCTGAAAACGAATCAGGAGTAGTGTTGATGATTGCCATAAGATAAGTAGGAGAAACTAGTGATCTATTGTATGAATTATCAAAACAATTAAATTTCGTAACGGATTTATACTTCAAGAATCTTGATTGACCAGGTAAAGGATTTAACACCCATAATTCATTTTCTGGATCTTGTTTCTTATAGATTTCTTGCAAAGATGAAAAAATTGGTTCCGCTGATATTGGATGAATGTGGGTTGGTGAAATCAATTCACATAATGGTTCCAAGACAAAGGTCCTTTCCAGCATTCTTGGGTGTGGTACAACCAATGTTTCATCATTGATCAGAATATGCTCACCTTTATCATTGATGTACATCACGATATCGAGATCAATTGATCTAGGACCATTATCAAAATGTTTGATTCTTTTTAACTCATCATATTCAATCTTCTTACATAATTCGAGTAGTTCATGTGGAGTCAATTGGGTGGTGATCTCAATACAACCATTCATAAAAGGACTTTGGTCTTTAAAGTACATTGGTTCACTTTCGAATAGAGAAGACACTTTTTCGATGTTGACTTTTTCATTTTGCTGTAACAAGGACAATGCATTGTTTATGTTTGCAAATCTATCGCCTACATTGGATCCAAAAGCCAGAAATGCAGAATTTATTTTTGATATTTTTCTCTCTAATACAGGCAAATTAAACGGTGAAGAAATGTTATCAGCCTCTATCACACCATTGCGCTTTCCTTGATCAGTTTCGATATGTAAAGATTGTAATTCTTTTGGTGTTCTTATACAACTAACACCAACTCCTTCAGTTGCGGTAATAGCATTCAGCTTAATTACTTTTACTTCAATTGGGACATCTTGTAATTGTTGGAAATATGGCTCCATTGCTATAACTTTTGCAACTGACTCCACCAATGCTTCAACTGTTTTGAAGTTTGCATTTTCTGTATACGCCACAACTTTATCTATGATAGTCTTGTAAGAAACAGTATCTTTAACATCTTTTGGCCAAGGAATGATTAAATCCAATGTGACAAATTGTTTTTGCAATCTTTCAAAAGTGAAAATGCCAATCAGTGTCAGCAACTTCAAATTAGTTATTCTCAAATAATCATATTTTGGCTCAGAGATGGAATCTTCATTTCTTGATTTCAATACTACACAGGAAACATCTTCGCTTCTGATATGAGCATCTTTAGAATTTACATTCAATTCCAACATATCGATGCCTTTATAACTTTTCATGGCAAAATCTGATACATCCCTAGAAAGCTTGCTCAGTGATAACCAATTCTTTCTAGCGTTAACAAAGTTTGTAACGTCTCTTGATATTGCAGCATAGTTCAAAGAATAACTTAAATCATCAGTATTTGAAGCTTTACCAAAATCAGTGGACATGCCCAACGTGATCAAACAACGTTGCGGATTCAATTGACCCCAGCAATCTGGACCAACAATGGCATCGACCCTCAACTTTTCAATGTAAACTTTATCCTTTACATTTTTAACAACAGCAACATTATTTGAAGTTGAATAAAATCGAGATATTCCCATATTCATGAAACGGCGTTCTAACATCTTTAAATTTTGATCCTTCGTCATCTACAAAACGTGAACACCACCAATGATACTAGTAACGTATTTCAAACCAGCATCAGAGTTATATCTACCATTACAATGCGATCAAGACCAGTTCATTGCAATCCAAAGAGGTCTTCTCATTGAAGGTTCATGTCATCTCATCCAAAATATTTCATTACGGCCAATATCAAATATTTCACTGCGATGGTTACGCTGTGGCTAAAAGACAATGTCATGGAGGAGAGTGGGAGGGAGAAGAGTCATCATCACTCGCAATCCAATGCATCTTTAGAGACACAGTCAATTTTAACAACGTATGGACGTGAAGATAGAGATGTATATGTTATCGAAGTGGTCTGAAGGTGTTTGTTTGGTAAAACCACACTGAACTATATGGTACCAACTGTGAATTAATTTTTCAAATCACGTGACCACCAACCATTCCCACTTAGCAAAAAAGTCCCATCTATATAGAGTTCAACCATACCCAGACTAGAACAACTTTTCCACGTCTGTGACACATCCAATCCATCTATACCCCCCATCAGAAGACCCCACTCTACTGTCATTGGATTAAATACCTTCCAAAATGTACCCTATATTTTGTATGATCTGAACCGTATATTGACTATAATCTACCATGTCGGTGCCTAGCACTAAAAATTATAGGGAAAACCCTTGTTTCTGGCCCAATTTCAACAGAACAAATTGGTAAATATACTAAACCATACCGATAGACACAAATTACAACCCAAAATCAAACCCAATCCTACTTCTTTGTCCACTTATATCCCATTTACCACCTAAATCATCCCAAATGTTATATACGAGATGAGCTCATCTTAAAATTCGCTTCAACCAAATCTCAAAAATATCGTTAAAGCAAAAAAAAAAAATGTTTAAAAGATAAAAACATGTTAATGGCTACATTCGAAAGGATATTTAACAACTAAACAGTTGATTCAAAGTCAATTTTGTCTTTGGATCTGACTGCATCTGGTGCAATTGAGGGATATCTGTTGTGAGTACCGACTTATATTTTCTAAGGTATAATATATGATGCTGGTTAGGAGTAGGATTGTCTGGCAAAGGTTCGTTGCTAGGGGTTTTGCTACTGGTGGAGCAAAGGTGAAATCACCACAATTGGCAGATGTTTTGATCGTTGGTGGTGGTCCAGCTGGTTTGACTTTAGCTGCTGCTATTAAGGCATCTCCTGCTTTGAAACATTTCAAGACTGTTTTGGTTGATGGAGGTGATATTAAGGATAAGGTTGGTTCTTTTTACGATTCACCACCAGAAAATTACACTAATCGTGTGGTTAGTTTGACTCCACCTTCTTTGGATTTTATCAAGTCTAAAGTTGGTATTAATTTGATGGAAGACAGAATGATGGTTTATGACGGGGTCTATGTCACTGACGGTTGCTCAAATGGGACTATTGATATGGAGAAAGATGGAATTTCTCATATGGTGGAAATTTTAAATGTCCAGTCTTCTGCTTTGAAAAGATTAACAGACTTGCAATTGGGTGAAGATAGCTTTAAGCTTATTGACAAGACTAAAGTGGCTAGTATCAAGTACAGCGACCCTAATGATGCCACTTCCTGGCCAATTGTAACTTTGGAAGATGGTCAAGCTTTTAAAACAAGGTTATTGGTAGGCGCCGATGGTTTCAATTCTCCTGTTAGAGCTTTCTCAGGTATCCAATCCCGTGGCTGGTTCTACAATGAATTTGGGATTGTTGCCACCATGAAATTAGAATACCCGCCTTACAAGGTTAGAGGTTGGCAAAGATTTTTACCAACTGGTCCAATTGCCCACTTGCCATTACCAGACGACAATGCCACTCTTGTGTGGACCCACAATGACGAAACCACAAAATTGCTAGTATCGTTGACACCAGAAGCATTTACTGCCATGGTCAACGCTGCTTTCGTTTTGGATAACGCTGACATGCAATATTATTATAATAAATTAAAGGAAAAAAGTATCACTGATAAAGATTTAATAGAAGATATTGATTCAAGAATACAACAGGTGTTCGACAATCTAGAAAATGAATCTGATATCGACGAATGTTATCCTACAAGAATTGCCAGTATAATAGGTGAATCAAGAGCAAGGTTTCCAATGAAAATGTTCCATGCTGACACTTATTGTGCCGAGAGAATTGCACTATTAGGTGATGCTGCCCATACCACACATCCTTTAGCTGGCCAAGGTTTGAATATGGGGGAAGGTGACACTGAAGCTTTAGTCAATGCTTTGGAAAAGGCCACTTACAGAGGCCTGGATATCGGTTCTCTTCTAGCTTTACAGCCATTCTGGGCAGATCGTTACTCAACCAACACCATACTGCTAGGAATAGCCGACAAATGCCATAAATTATACGGTACAGATTTCGCTCCTATGGTTGGCCTAAGAACTATTGGTGCAAATTTCATCAATAATTTTAGTCCAATTAAAGATTTAATTACAAATACATTGGGTACCTCTGCCAGGGAACCAATTGCCAAAAAATAAACTGGAACGAAACGAAACTTGTAATACCGATCAAAAGCAAAATGGAAAGATTCAATACATCATCTCCCACTCTTCTAGTATATACTTATTTAATAATTTAACGATATTTTTTATATATTTACCTTTATAAATTCTTATGCTCAATGTTGCTATGAAAAATCCCCAGGCATTAAAGAAGTTCTTGTTGTTGAACAGGTTCATATAAGTTAACCAAGACTCTATACCTTAATACAAACAGATAAGGCAATGAGTGTATTAGTAGAGACCACAATTGGTTCATTTGGAGTTACACTTGATTGTAAGGATTCCTCTGTTGAAGCTTATAATTTTTTAAAGCTTTGTAAAGCAAACTATTATAATTATCAATGCTTTTATGATATAAGGAAAGGTCATAGCATAGAGTTTGGGGATGGATTGTATAGGTTCAAAGATAGGAAGGAGTTGAGAGTTCATAGTACATTCATCAATTCACTCCTGAACAAGAACAATGTCGATACGATAGTCCCTGAGCTTGCTACATGTTCATCATCGGTTAACACTAAAGAAGCTGATATGGGACGAATAGGATTTAAAACTACGTTTAAGGATAAAGAGAGGTTAATAGGATCTAAAGTGGTGGTTGCTTTAACTGATTGGGATTCAAATGATGGGTCTGTTTCATTTTTTGGTCGTGTAAATAGAAGAAATTGGGACGTGCTAGATAATTTTAATAGAGCAATTATAGATGAGAAAAATGAATTAGTTACAGATATTAGAATCATCAAGATGCATATTTTAAAAGACCCATTCCCTGATCCAGAAGGATTCTGTGAATATGAAATCTCTTTGCCAATAGATGAAGTGAGACTACCACAACATATAATCGATAATTCAGTACCATCATCATCAAAAGAAATCCAAGACATTAAAAAAGATATTCTAAGAAAGGAAACTACATTGGAGATAATTGGAGATATTCCATCAGTAGGTGTAAGACCATTAGAAAATGTACTATTCATTTGTAAACTCAATCCATCGACTAAAGCAAAAGACATTGCTATGATATTCCAGAGATTTGGTGAAATCAAATCAGTAGAAATAATCAAAGACAAAGAGTCTGGTTACTCTCTAGGATATGGGTTCATCGAATTCACAACAAAACATTCATGTGAATTAGCTTATACTAAAATGGAATCTACAATTATAGATGATAGAAGAATCCATGTAGATTTCTGTCAAAGTGTAGGCAAGCTAAGTAAAGATTGGATCGAAGGGAAACTTTAAAAGCTAAACCTTCCATCCTCTAGTGTATGTAGAGACCAATTCAAATCAAATCAAACTAAAACAAAAATTGTTATATAACATTCTAATACTACCATCTCCAATTCGTAAAAGATCTCTCAATCATCATCACTTGACCATTAACAAGTTCACTATTCATGGTTTCATATATCACTTATAAGAGATGAGATGAGCCTATTTAAGAAATCTAATATAGTATGTAACCTCCCCTGTTTAGCTGTTTATGGATATCTGTTTGAAAGGAATAGAAGGTTAAACAAGAGATGGTAGTTCTATTTGAACCTGAAAATGGGTTCATCAATTCGTTGAAGTGTTTATTTGGTAGATTCCCTAAGGTTGATAGTAAGTTTAGCAAAGAAGAGAGGTTAGAATTAGATTTTAAAGATCCTTTCGTTAAGGGATTCTTCACTTCTTACAATGAGATTATTAAATTAAATGATAGGAGACCTAATGTGTCCTTGGATGATGTTAAAATAATCAAGAGTATACCACCTATTAAAGATTTCAAGCCTCCAAAGTACCCTGTTGTTTTATGCCATGGTTTGTCAGGTTTTGATAGATTGATTTTGGTACCTTCAGTTTATCAATTGTTTCACTTAGTTGCTAACTCGATGACTATGAGTACTGTCTATGATGTGATGGGTTATGAAGATGATGAGAATTTGAAAATTGGTGCTATTGAGGTGGAATACTGGCATGGTATCAAGGATAAACTTGAAGAGAAAGGTTGTACCGTTCTAACTGCCAAGGTACCCAGTTTTGGTAGTGTGGAACAAAGGGCTGCTGTATTAAATACATTTATTGAAACAAAAGTTAAAGGTTTATTGAGTTCTGGGTATGTAATGGAGGAATCATCAGATACTGGTGATTCAGAAAATAGACTCAAATTGAATTTTATAGCACATTCCATGGGTGGCCTTGATTGTAGGTATTTAATCGCTAAAATACCCAGTAAATCTTACCAAGTTGCAAGTCTAACTACTATCTCCACCCCACACCAAGGTTCAGAGATGGCAGATTACGTGGTAGACAAATTCGAAGAATTCAGAAGAAACTCACCTTTAAAATATAGCCCCCTTCTTTTACCAGATCCATTCTATCAATTGACTACTTACTACATGCAATATTTCAATGCAATGGTACATGACGATCCAAACGTCGAGTATTTCTCATATGGTTCATTTTTTTATCCTAAATGGCATAATTTATTCTATCCATCTTGGAAGATTATTGATGAATTGTCTGACGGTCAACCAAACGATGGATTAGTAACAGTAAGAAGCAGTTGTTGGGGAAAATTTCTGGGTGCCCTATACAATTTCGACCATATGGATATCATCAACTGGAGAAATAGGTTAGAAATAGATTTCAGGAACTTCATTGATGAAATAGATGATCAAAGAACTGACAAAACTAAAAATGATATCAATGCTCTAGATTTTTACTTGATGATTGCTGATGACTTAGCTAAAAAAGGGTTTTAATAAACAATAATTTTGAATTGACGATGGGATATGAGACACAAAGCTTTGTAGTTACTTGTATAAAATAATATCCAAACTTAGTATCAATTTATATTACCATTTATACTCTATAAGTGGCTAATCAACGTATTTTAAAAAGTAATCACGTGACTTAGATATAGCTTTATATTCAGCCATTTCCCCAGGAAATACAGAGATATAAGAAAGTTTCCATACAAGAACTATGATATTATAGGTAAAAGATGAAGGATATGGATGGTGAATTATAGGTTGATACACTAACACTATATAGATTGTAAAGTGTTGTAACAGGTTAAACATTATCAGTTAACTGGACGTTGCTTCCTTTTTTTATGGAAGGTGCTGATAAGGTTCTAGATAGGAGATATAGAAAAGGTAATCAAGTGAAAGAAATTAAAGTGATTGATAAAGTTCAAAGATGACCAATAATAACGACACAGACAAGCAATTGAAACTTATTTCAGTTGCATTTAAAGAAGCTTCATTGGATTCTCCTTCTTTCAGAGCATCTGTAAATTTTTTCCATTCCAAAGTTGAATATTTTGATGGTTGGATAGATGAAAATATTGACTTCTTGGATAATAAATATACTTCGTCATTCAAGGAGTTCGTTGCTACAAAGGAGAAACTTTTAGCTCAAATGTTACCACCGACTGATATGATCAGCAATGGGCTTATAACAAATCAAAGTTTTGTTCCTATGCTTTTAGAAAGATTTAATGATGACTACCGCAAATTGGTAACTAAGATATTACAATATTTAGTTGGTGATGGTACTGCTTATTCACAAGTGTTGAAAGATTTAAAAACCACAACCATTAAACCATACGTTAAAATGAGGAAAGATTTTGAATATTTCCAAAAAAAATATGATGACATGTTAGCTGAGGACCAAGAGATTAATATTTCTAATACTGACTTAAATCCTTCAACTTTAAGGGAATCTTCGGCAAACCTGTTCGAAATTAAAAAGTCATATTTAGAAGCTTCATTGGATCTTGCTAGCTCCATATATAGTGTGAAACTTAATGTTGATAAATTCATTTTAGATGTCATTGGCAGATTAAAAAAATATAATATTTCAAAATTTAAAGAGGCTGGTGGTAATGTTGAATTAATCCCTTCAATTGCTGAGTATTATAATGACCATTTAACCTGGTTGGAAAAGGCAATTGAAGGTGCTAATGGTTTGGCTGTAGAGATCGAATCTGCTAAAAAACAAGTTCTAGATTATACGGAACATCGAACAAAACCATCTGAGGATATCAACGATTATAACATCAGAGGTATCAACACTTCCTCTCTATTACCTCAACCAAATAATATCCCAATTACTAAATCTCCAGAAAAATCTGGTTGGTTGTTTATGAAAACTACAGTTGGCAGGCCAAGTAGAACTATATGGGTTAGGAGATGGTGTTTTATTCAGCATTCTGTCTTCGGTATGTTCTCGATATCACCATCAAAAACTTATGTTGAAGAGACAGATAAATTTGGTATTTTACTGGTGAATGTGAGGTATTGCCCAGAAGAAGGCCGTAAATTTTGTTTTGAAGTTAAGATTGTGGGGAATAAGGTAACTGATCAAGACGGCAATTCGTATAAGGACCTAACGTTAATTTTACAAGCGGAAAGTTTAAAAGATCTAAAATCTTGGTTAACCTATTTCAATGCAGCCCAAAGATATGCCTTTAATCTGAATAAAAACCAGTTTTGAATCAGATATTGCTTTTAAACGATTTTCTCCAGAGTTTTTTGAGTTGCCTCAAGTACCACATCTTCGGTGGATCAACTAATACCTCCATGGAATACCGATCCTAAGCCTTTATTAAAGTTTTTGAAAGGTAGATTTTCTGAATACGATGCGTTTGTTGGATTCTGGGAATCAGTAGATGACAATCTTAAGTTATCCAGATCTAACCCTATGTCTGAAAGATATACTTTGCTGACAGGAACACATTCAGGGTAACTGTTAGTTTTCAAAAGGTATATAAGCAGACCAGATTTCAAGTTTCTAGAAAATATTTTCTCTTTTCTAATGTTCACTTTATGAACTAAATTATATTTTATATTTTGTATACTATATTTAGAATTTATAAAAAACCAAGAGCTTGAATAAACAACTAACGTATAATTGTACTTATACCTTAGATCTCAGTTAATATATCCACTATCACTCCAGTACAACCATGTCCCACCCTGATCAACAGTCCAATAACACTCACCTATTCCAATCTCAAGAAATAGGTGCCGTCCTGGTTTCGAACCTGCGCAAACAGGTTATGAGCCCTGCCAATGCAACCGACCTTATTCCCATTGAACTACTTGGTGTCCAAAACTATGATATGTGGTATCATTACTTTATGCAAGTAGTTGGTGAAGCCAGTCACATTTGGTCAGAATATGTTGAAACTGGAGATATTCAATCCGTTAGAATTGAATATGGATTACCTGATATTCAAATCAAGTCTATGAAAATAATCTTAGACACTAATCTTGTTTCTCTTATCAAAAAGAATGTTTCTAAAGATATTGAGAAAAAGATTAGAAACTCCTTCCAGATGACTAAAAGATCTGGTCCAACAGGATTGTTACTTTTAGAGTACTTAAAAAAAGGTATCGTAGGAAATGTTTAAGTCCCCCATGCCCATTTTTCGAA